TTTTTTTTTTTTCATTCATGAAGACTTAGGGACAGGAGACCTGAGTTCTATACTTTGACAGTGTTTAGTTCCCCTCAGTACTACAGGAAAAAAGGAGAGAGTGGGAGTTAAGAACTAAGCCAAATGAAGTAAGCTGAAAACATTCTAAATTAATAACCTCTGGGGAGAAAACAAACAGAGCCATGCTGTGTATATGTAATAGAGATGATATCAGTGATAACTAAAGACATATCTTTATTCTTTTGGAGACCTTAAATATTATTATTTTTTTCCTTTTTAAAAACAGACTTTCTTCCTTTTGTCCTTCATTCCTTCATGCCAGGGATTGAACCCAGGACACTTACCTATTTTGCTACATCCCTAGTCCCTTGTTATTTTTTATTTTCAGACAGGGTCTCATTAATAGTTGCTGAGGCTGGCTTTGAACTCGTGATCCTCTTGCCTCAGCCTCCTGAGTTAACTGGGATTACAGACATGTACGACCATGCCTGTCCAGCTCAAAGCTCCCTCCCACCCCTTATAGACAGTGCCAGTTTTGTTCTAAAATTAGATTTATTGAATTTTGCATAGGAATGCAATTGCCTAGTGTAGACACAAAGGCGAAGAAGAAAATAAAATTTTTTTTTTTTTTTTTTTTTTTACTATTCATGTAAAGAATAAAGTTACATATTCAAGATTTCAGATTTAGGTGCTAGAATTTAAGTTTCAATAAGTATCCATCAAATAGAAGAGTAGTTGTGGAAATGTTGGACATGTTCGAAAATATCCCAAGGTGGAGAAAGTAAAGGTGTTGGTGATATGGAACCACTTTAAATTCTTAGCTTGAGTTTTGAGKGCTGAAGTATAATACACATTTATAATCCAAAAATATATCCATACGTTTTTTCCGTAAGCTAACAAAGGTACAGCTTCTTTTAGATTTGAGATCTATTTTCCTCCATGAAAATAGTGATACATCTTTTCCATGGCTTCAAATTTTTGGTAAACTTTAATTTGTAATTCTTAAATTATATACCTATTACTTACTCATATCAGTTGACTTTAGCAATAAAGTGCTAGCAATACAATTCTTAAGGATAATTCTTTTGTAAATGTTAGGCAAAAGCATAAATATTAGGTACATGTATCATTCTGAAGATTAGGAATATTCACTTCCCTTTTCCTCCCTTTTACTTATTTTTTGTTTGGGGGATTGAGCCCTGGGCCTTGTACATGCTCAGCATGAGATCTACCACTGAGCTACACCCCTCAGTCCAATACTTGCCCTTTATTATATTCCCTTTATAATATTAAAGGTATTTTTTCCCATCTGTATTATTGTTTAGTTAATGTTTGATTTTTAAAAATAAGTAAAAGAAAAGTGAACCTAGCAAAAAAGTTTTGTTTTACTAGTCAAGATCTATACACTAGAATAGTGGTCTTGAATGATGAAAGTTTGAGTGGAAATGTCATTTCAAAGGAAGGCCATYTTGGCTAAGGAGTAAAAACAGTGCTCTAGAAAAGAAAATTTTAAGTCATGAGTAGGAATGAAAGAAAGAAATGATTAATGCTGACTGTGACATTTTGGTTCAGAGACTGAAAATAATTGGTAAAACATTTAATTTGGTGACAGAGAATCAGAATTCTATTTCCTTCTTTGCTAACAGAGTAAATTGTTTTACTTATATGAAATTGATTCTTCTGTAAAATATGGATAGCATTTAAGTTTTATTCAGGGTCTTGGAGAACTGAAATTCTATAGATTTTTTTAAAGGGAAAAAAAGATTTTTTAAAAGGAAAAAAAGAAAGTCTATAAGCAGCTAACACAATGACAGGTGCAAGGTGAAAGATGAGTAAGTATAAATGGAATTAACAGAAATACTTAAGGAATACAATTAAAAACAAAACAAAACAACACATCATCAGATCAGTACAAGACCTGTACCAAGGGTAAACTTGTCATTGAGTTAAATACAATAGATCCTGCTACAGGGTTCACATTTACTCAGATAGAGAAAAGTGATGTTTCCTGTCATTGTTTTCTTAGCTCCACTTGCCTAAGATGGAAGTATCTTCAAAGAATATAACTTTATGGTCTTTTACTTATTTAAGATCCTGGTTTAGAGCTTTCTAAATTCATTATTGTAGGACTTAACTTCTCTTTCATATTTAATTGTGTTGGGGAATGATKATTGGCATGTATCTAAGAGGTGATATCAATAGAAGTATAAATTTTAAAATGCAAGATAGGTTAGGCTGTTTCACCCTTTCTTTTCAAAATAGAAAAACTAATGAATACGCCACAATACATTAGATTGTGGTGATATTGAGAAAATGGAGAAGAATATCACTATTAATTTTAATGGAGTAATTTGGAAAATTTTTCTTCATGTCTCCCTRTTGCAAGTTTCTAGCCTACCAAACCTTTGACACCAAAGGTTAAAAAAACAGTTCATTCTTATTTTACTTCCAAGAAGGTTTATTTAACTTAATCTATTAATTTTTTAGAAAGATATTCAAAGCAAAAATGCAAAAGCCCTTTCAATATATCTTGAGAACTGTATACAATGGATCGTGGATTATTTATTTATTTATTTTTGGTACCTATTCTAAATGGAATTTTCCCATGCAGCTTAAGATCTAATTAAGCTTAATTATCTCCTTTCTTTTTAGATTGTTAAAGGAAATGGGCTGGCAGGAAGACAGTGAAAATGATGAAACATGTGCTCCCTTAACTGAGGATGAAATGAGAGAATTCCAAGTTATTAGTGAACAGTTGCAGAAGAATGGTCTGAGAAAAAAATGGTATTTTGAAAAATGGCCTGATCTGTGACTTCAAGTTTGAACCCTGGGAAAACAGCACTTTCAAACCCACAATTGAGAATGATGACACAGAGACAAGTAGCAGTGACACATCAGATGATGATGATGTGTGAAGGATTTCCTAACAGCTTTAGAATTTTTAGTGTGATACATCTCTCATACAGTTTGGGGTGAATTGTAAAAATGAAGAACTATAATTTATGTAGTGAAATACCCCATTAGAAGATGATTTTTKKGGGGGACTTCAATATGAAGAAAACCAAGAATGTTTTKTTGRGCTGGGTTGAACATTATTTCTTTGTAAATGAATGTTGTAGAAATGAGGACTTTGGTTGATCCAACATTGACTTTCTTCATCACTGCAGCATTTCTCTGACTAGCAATGTGACGATGTAACAAATGAGATTTTCTCATTTAATAATAAAAAATTGTGTAATGTTTTGCAAAGCTTCTGTCTTAAAATGTCCAGGTCTTAAGGGAAAAAAAGGCAGCCTACACTGTTTTGCTTGCAGAGTCATATCTTTTTCATATAGTGGAAATCTTCAAGTCTGCTTTGTGCGCCTCCCCACCCCACCCCACCCCCAAACAAAACAAAACAAAAAAGCGAAAAGGAAAATGTAGCATGTTGGCTGAAAACTGGTGCAAAGTGCACTAAAACATTAATTTCCTGAACTCGGCTGTTGTACTTGTCACCTTTTAAAACAAATTGCTCTTTAGCCATTTGTAGTGCAGTAAGTGTTACAGGAGAGACTCGCCACATTTTCTTCCAAATTTTAAGAGATGTTTTTCAAGAGCTTTATTTGGGTTATGTTGTCAGAGCAGGATTTTCAGACTTGGTGGAAAAGACTCTTGGGAAAACYTATTTTGATAAATTATTACACATGCAGAAAAACTGATCAAACTGACTGGATCTGTCCACAACATGGAAAATAAACTGGATTTTCAGAATATTGCTCTCTGTAGTGTTCAAGGTATTGGTCTATAACACAACWTGCTTTTGTTCACTTCTGAAAGTTATACTCTCTTCATTAAAAATGGTGGTTATTTTCTGAGGTTAGAAAATCAAAATAAGTCTTCAATATTGTATACACAGGTTTATTAAATGAATTGTGACTTTCCATTTTCACATTAGTTTTGGAATCAATTTGTTTTATGGTTGACTGCAAGAGTATTTTAGCTCTGTATAATTTTATTTTGATTTTCTTGACTTTGTTTACCCTTAGTTGGTTTTAAGCTTCTTCCATTCCATTCCATGTATAAATATATTCTAATTGTTTAGAGTGTTACATTTGAGTGAAAATGTGTGAGGTTATATGTTACATTGATCAAATCCTATGAGGTTTTTTTGTTGTTGTTGTTTTAAGTAGGAGGCTGTTTTTCCACATGATTCCCCAGGCTTCCCAGCTTTCACTAGAAACTGTTATTTTTTTCCTTGTATGTTTTTGTTGTTCCCCTGAGATTGATAGGTGCATGGTTGCACCCTAGTAAAAATTCTGAGGAGAAGTTAAGAGAAGGTAGTAAATATTTGAATTTTGAAAAAAGCCCCCCCCCCCCCAATGTAATTTGCCATTTTCAATCTAATCAGCACCTGTCAGTATCATTGAAAGTCTTTGGAAGTCTTAGATTGTACTATTTAATAGGATAATGAAATATTGTTAGGTGCAAACTAATATTTGCTAAAACAAGTATAAGAGAATTGAGAAATATGGTTTATGTTTAAAATTTTGGGGGGTAATTTTTGTTTTGTTTTCTGGCATTTTCTTTATATTCAGACAGTTCTTTCTGCCGTAATTCCCCATTTACAAGCCGTTAACTAATGTTTATTGTGCTTCCATGAATTGTGATATGGAATATGTTTGGCAGTTTACTTTTTGTAAATATGGTAAAGTGCATTGGCATAGTTGTTCTATCTAGTAACTGATGACATTAACAAGTTTAAGGTAACTAAGGGGACAGAGCCATATACATACAATTTGAGAGTGGCTTAAGTTAACATAGTTTTAATTTTATGTCCAAATAATGGACAGCTATTAAAAGAGTTTGGACCTTATTGTTGGGAAGGGAACCCAGAAGTACAGAAAGTAGTTAAACTATAAATCTAGTGTGGAATTATTAAATTCAGAATTGGGCCGTGGTGAACAGGGGAAAAAAAAAGTAATTTTGACTACTTTAAACTCAGTAACTCAGTGGAGGGTTCCCCCGCCCCCTCATATAGACTAGCATAAACATTCCTCTTACTTTAACCCCCTCACCACATTTTTTGTAAAAATTGTAATTAGCAAAATTCATATAACAGTGATTTGAATTGTATATTTTTCATTTAATTTTAAGATAAAGATTAGAATAACTGATATCCACAAATATTTTTATTTGAAATAAACAACTGATGACATAAAAATAATCACTTGATTTAATAATATATTTGTATTAAGTAAAATTAGTATGTTGAAGGATCTGGTTTCTAAACACTTTTAGTTCTTTTTGCTAGGGCTTATAATTAATTTTGTTAGAATATGGTTATATAAACAGTACTAAGAAKTTTATTTAGGGATATGTTAAATGACTTTTTCACTTAAAAGTTACTCTAACATCAGATTCTATTATCATGCTTGATAATCTCAGAAATTTTATAAAGGTTGTTTTAAGAATTCAGGTCACTTAGAAAAAAACACTTTTTTCCATAAGGGGAGATTTTTATTTTGGTTTACATGATAGCGGATGTAAACTACAGCTTTCAAATTTTAAAATATCACTAGTTGAGAGCAGGGTGTTGTGACTTTTTCTTTTGGGCAGTTTAGTTTCTTAAAGTTAATGGTTACTTGGCTGTTGGGCAAGGAATGGGCAGGGGGTATTTCTAGTAATAGCAAAATCCGTAAAAGCCTCCAGTGCTGCCAAGAAGCTGGGATTATTCYTTTTTGCAGCCTAATACTTGATTTCTTTAGACAAGGCTGTGAGGACATWCTATATACTATATGGCTGTAACAGCATACTTTAGTAGCCTGAGCTGTAGAATAATTTAAAATTTTGGTGATTGTAATGTATTGATTTTGGCTGTATAATCATCTTAAATTTACAGTAGGCTTGTGAGTACATACATACTTTAGTGAACTGAGCTATAGAATGTTTTAAAACCCTCCTAATGATTTTAGTGTATTTAATATGGCTATATATGTTGTTATTTTAAATTTATTGACTTGCAGTATTGTAGAAATAGTCACACCTGGTTTGGAACTTGGCTTTGCTCCTCATTAGCTTGGCCCTTAATTCAGATACTTATCCTCTCCAGACATCAGTGTCTCTTCCTCTGGTTTATTAGGAAGATGAAAAGCCTCATKAGAATCAACTGGTGTAAATCCTGGCCCATAGAAGACATTTCATAAATCTCTCATATTATTCAGCAGGAACCTGTAGCATGTAGTACCTGCATATTTTTCAAAAAATTTTTTAGTTGTAGATGGACACAATACCTTTATATTTATGCGGTGCCAAGGTTTGAACCCAGTACCTCACATGTACAAGGTAAGTGCTCTTTCAATGAGCTACAACCCCCAGCCCCTGTAGTACCTTTTTATTTTTTTTTGGGTGCTGGAGATTGAACCCAGGGCCTTGTGCATGCAAGGCAAATACTCTATCAACTGAGCTATATCCCTAGCCCTCTATAGTACCTATTTTTGAAATTAATTTTAAATAGGCAGCTATTATTCTAAATGGTTGTAAATAGTGTGGTCTGAGTTCTCAGTAATAAACTGAGCTGTGTGATATTTCCTTCGTTTATTTGGCATGGTCAGTTATGAACTAAGCATGGTAATCTAATTTTATTGGTCCTTTAGAATGGAATCCATTTTCTCAAATGTRCCCATTGAACTTTTAGCTCATAGAGCAATGATTTAAAATAGCATTTTAAGAATTGTGTATTTTTCATTTAATTTTAAAGATTTAATAAGATGGTAAGTCATATTTGTATGACTGATTTCAAGGATGGGATTCTATGCTTTGAAATCTTTTTTTTTTTTTTTGAGAGAGAGAATTTTTAATGTTTATTTTTTAGTTTTCGGCGGACACAACATCTTTGTTTGTATGTGGTGCTGAGGATCGAACCTGGGCCGCACGCATGCCAGGCTACCGCTTGAGCCACACCCCCAGCCCAGCTTTCAAGTCTTTAAAAATAGAATTATCACATCATATTTTTTTGTGGAAATAAGCATTCCAAAAGGTAAAGTGGTTTTGACTTGCTACCTCTGCTATTCCTCCTGAGATATGTCCTATTTTCTGGAATGCTATGGGTGAAAAAAGATAATGGACTGGAAAAGTTTTACAAGAGAGAGATAACACTTCACTATTTCAGTTACTTTTAATGGACACAATATTCGAAAATAAGCAAAGTATAGTGAAATTGGTATCTTGAAAAAAGTAGATTATAGGTGTTAGGTCTTGTGTAATATATTTATTCTGTAGTGTCTTTTCTGATGCTGAGAGTATCTTGGACATACACTTTGATTATAGCTTTAGTGCCATTTTAATATGGTTTTCCTTAATTGCTAGAGAGAAGGGAAAACAATTTGAATCCAATGAAATTTCTCTTTAATCTATAGTGGTTGTAGTCATAAGAATTTGATTTGGCAAGGTCACGGGGTGTTAATTGTATTTGGAGTTAATATTTTTCTCCTTGAATCTGAACTTTATGTTCTGGCAATGTTCAGTTTTTWAAAAAATAATTTTGATGGATTTAGTAGTAAAGTCTTTGGCAGAATAGATCAAACCTGGGTAATGAGAAGTGAGTGTAGGAAACTATTTCTAGATAGTGAGGCCTCTTTCTGTCTATTAAGATGGCTACAGTTTCAATTTTGGAAATTATTTTCTAAATTGGATGTTGGCAGACTTTCCGTGTTAAGGAGCCAGCGTAGACAAAGTGATCTCTGGTTCGTTTGTGTTCCAATAAAACTGGCTTACTGGAGGCAGTAATTTGCAGTTCTCTGTTCTAATTCTTAATACCTAGGCTTTTGGAAACTTCATTTGTGTTTTGGTACCATGGATTAAACCCAGAGGCACTTAACCACATCCCCATCCCTTTTTATTTTGAGAGTCTCACTAARTTTCTGAGGSTGGCTTTGAATTTGCCTTTGCCCCCTGAGTCTCTGGTATTACAGGTGTGTGTGCCACCATAGCCCACTCTACCCCAGTTGTAAACCCGATTGTAATGTGTCTACACAAGACAAAGTATATATGTATCGAAATAACAAAGGTAAATTAATCAGTGTAATGCAAAATAATATCTTCTGAGAAAATGGGAAAACTTTGGTGAAACAGAAGCAGTTTTAAAAGTATTTTTTAGTTGCAGATGGACAAAATACCTTTATTTTATATATTTTTATGTGGTGCTGTGCTTGTAACCTAGTACCTCACATGTGCCAGGTTAAGTACTACAGAGCCTCAACTCCAGCCCCACAGAGGCATATTGAAGGATAGACTTACAAAAGTGAGGTAATTTTTTTTTCCTGGATTCTGCAGCTTTCCCAGCATTCTCTACTGAAGTATTTACTGAAATAAAACTGTCTCAACTGGATAGTGYCAGTAATAACCTGGACCATTTATTTTAAAGAAGAGCCTTAACCTTTGGTGGAAATTACATCTCATTTTTCTCCATAAAGTTGGAGTTTTTGGTGAAGAAAATGTGTTCCTCTTTGTTTTGAAAATGATGAGAACCAGAACATCTCTTTACTAGCAAGAGCATATAAATAGGATAAGAATTTTGAAACAAGGGTTCGGTGTTTGGTATTGAAGGTTGATTTACAAGGTATTGGTTTCTAGGGTTTTGTTTTGAGGTCTAGCAGATGTTGGTGTTGAAACTGATGTCTTGCATGGTCTACCAGCAAACAGAACTAGGCACATTGTAAAAATTCTTTCTGGGTAGAGATGAGCAGAAAAATCTGTGATGAGGCCAAGTGAAACACAAGAATTAGAGAATGGGAGCATCTTCCTCACCAATGAAGCCATTCTAGAGGTACCCCATGGGGTTCTACTTCACAAGACAGAATATGTAATCATCCTAGCTAGAGTTGGGTCTAATCAGTTCAACTGGTACCGAAGTTTAGTCTGCACTACCCATCCTGGACTAAAAAGGATATG